GTTAAACCAAATGGCATAACACGAAATCGAAAAAGACCGGCATGTGAAATAAATGCTGTTTTATCACGACTAGCTGGATCAAGTTCAATTTGCCAAAAACCAGAACGAAGATCCATAGATGAAAAATATTTGGCGTGTTGTAATTGATCAAGTGTATCATCAATGCGTGGTATTGGATAAACATCACGTACAGTAACAGAATTAAGTTCACGATAATCAATACAAAAACGTAAAGAACCATCCTTCTTTGGTTGTAATGTAATAGGTGCAGCATAAGGACTAATACATGGTTCGATAATACCAGCATTTAACATTGTTGTAATTTCATTAGATATAATATCTTTACGATGAGGTGAAACACGATAAGGTCGTAATTTAATTGGTTTAGTAGTACTAGTATCGATATGATGTTGAACAAGTGAAGTACGACCAAGTTTATCATCAAAACATTGATGATATTTAACGAGAAGAGATCGAAGTTGTTCCACTTGAGATGAAGTAATATCAGTATCAGTAAGATTTAAATTGGTTAAGAAATCAAATGAAGTAGTTATGGATAAAGTTGAAGAATCTTCAAATGATGGTGTAGATGGTGATGTTGTTGACAATGATGTTGTAGATAAAATATGAGCATCAGCATTAACAACATCATTACCTTGATATAAATCAGCAATAGCTAAACGTTCACCAGGATAAATGACTTGAGATTTAGATGATAAATTAGCAACTTGAATAAGGCAACATTTATTTTTAATACGAACTAAAGAATTAGCAGCAATAACATGACGACGAACACCAGTAACCGATGCTTCCCATAAGTCAGATGAAATAGCTGAAGGTGTTTTAACTTGAATAAAAGCAAAATGAAATGATGGAATAGTATATGTTTGAGTAGAAAGAAGAGGTATTTCCATTCGACTAGCATGACTAAGATCAGATGAAATAGTATATGTAAGAGCAGGTCGAGAACGTAACCACATTTTGTTAGCCTGGATATCGAGTACAAGTCCAATAAGTTTCATAAAATCATTTCCAAGTAATATTAAATGTTCAAAATTTTGGGCTAACACAGCTTTATGTTGAACAATAACACCAGCAATAGTAATTGTAATTTCTACTAATCCAACAGGAAAAATAGAACTACCATCAGGTCCATGAATATCAGGACCCTGATAGGGTTCTGAAGAAAGAAATGGATCACCAATAAGTGACCAATATCGAGAACTAATAATTGTAAGACCAGATCCGGTATCAAGAAGTACACGACAAGATATATCATTAATTTTAGCTTCAGCTATTAAATATGATGCAGATGGTGAATTGATAAGAATATTATTATTAGAATTAAATGCACGATCAGAAGTTGAATGAGTTGTTGAAGATGGTATTGTAGATGTAATTGTAGTTTGAGATGAATTTATACATGGATTAGTGTTAATACATTCATTAGAAATAAGTTCAGATGAAGTTATAAATGGAAGAGTTGACGATGGTGATGGTGGAGATAACGATGAGGTTGGATGAGATGAGAAGATTGATGTTGATGGTTGAGATGATGATGTTGATGGATAAGAGGAGGATATTGATGTGGGAGTCAAGTCTTCCTCTAATACCGACTCCCATGAACGTTTCCCGACATCGGCGATTGTTGAGACGATAGACGAGAAGAGTGTTCATAATGTTGTTGTAATGGAGAGTTATTGATAAATTTATTTTGAGTTGTTGCTCGATAATTAAATTGTGGATCAGAATGTGGTTGTTGAGAATGATCAGATGATGGTGCAAATGATTGAGTTAGCTGTTGATGTTGTTGTTGATGATGTAGAAGTGGAGCACGTTCAGATTGATAATAAGGACCACGTGGATTAGAATAACAATGAGACCAAGTATGACTAGTACTTGAACAAAATGAACACCATCGTTTATTATTATTACGACGTGTTGATTGAAGATTGCGATTAAAATTTGATCGAGGAAAAGATGAATCATTATCAAGTTGAGTATATCGAGGTGACAATCTAGCTGAGTTGGTAAAAGTACGTGTATTGTGAGTATGAGAATAATCAGATTCATTAGTATTGTAGTTGGAATTGTTGGAATTATTATTAGATGCAGTTGGTGCAGTACGAGTTGATGAAGATGACGGATGAGATTGAGATATATTTGACAAATGATTAATAGTTGTAATGTTTGTTTTCGTGTTGGTAGCATCTTTATGAGCAGCACGAAGTTTATCATCAATTTTTTGTTGTATAAGACTGGATTCAATTTCAGTAGCTTTTTGAACAAGATCAGACAATGGAGAAGTAAGACCAAGTAACATTTTATCGCGTATATCTTTACGTAATTTTTGTAAAAATTTTCGTTTAAGATAATCACTTGATGTTTCAGGATCAATTTCGGATATTAATGCTTTTAAGCGTTCATAATAATCAGCTGTTGATTCATGATCACCTTGCCATAAACTGCGTAAGCGATTACGGAAAAGTTCAATCTTTTCTGGAGTACGAAATCGCCGAAGAAATAATATTTTAAATTGTGACCAAGTCACAATAGATTGTTCTTGTTGTATCTGTATAAACCATGTAAGTGCGCTGTCAGATAAGGTTTGTTGAACAGCACGAAGTAAATAATCATCATTATAACCAACAAGTCCAGATGCACGAACTTCAAATTCTTTAATGAATTTTATTGGTAATTCCGTTTCTCTACCGCTAAAATTAGGTAGAGTATTGTTTAATGTCATAGTAAATGGCATTGTTGATGGAGATGTATAAGCAGGTGCAGCTGGTATAATTGATGGTGGTTTTGAATGAGAACCAATTGGAATAAATGCAGATGTATTAGAATGAGTAGATGGTATATGTGTTGAAGCTATAGATGGTGGTCGTACTTGTAGAGGACTCTTGTTAAATGTTGAACGAGAATAACGAAGTTCATCAATTTCTTGACGAAGATGATCTAGTTCAATATCACGACGAGCAAGTGCGATATTCGATTGTTGTAAAGCTTCTTGTAAATAATAAAGTTGATCAACACTTGGTAATGTATGAGGTTGATTTGATTGAATTGGTATAGACGTGCACGTGTCATAATGATGGCGAGTATGTGCCGGTGAAGCAGCTGAATTATGATCAACAGATTGATGTTGATAATTCTGAATAGAATTTGATTGACAAAGTGAAGTTGGTGAATTTCGTGCAGAGTGAACGGCAGATTTTAACTGATCAAACTCAAGTTGAAGATCATACATAAATTTATTTAAATTAGTTATTTCAGATTGTTGATGACTAACCTGATCCGCAAGACGACTTTGAGAAGTTGCGGTACATATAGGTTTATAATTTGTATTCTTAACAGTAGAAAGCTTCTTAGATCGTTTAGTTGTAGGTTTTGGTAGACTGAGAGTTGATTTATTAAATATTGATTCAGATGATGAAGATAAATCATCAGATTTATTGTCAGTAGTTGGTGGAACTGGTGTAGGAATATTACCAGTAGACATATTGGATAATTCAGAATGATAAGAACGACAACAATAACAATATGTTAACAGTTCAATTATTGAAACGGTTAGGAATGAAATATATATATATATATGGATATATTTTTTTTTTTTTTTTTTTAAATTAACAAATGTATAATATACTGATTTAAAATTTGATTAATAAGAATTTCTTGATATTTCTGGCTAAAAGAATTTTTCTATTTTGTTGAATAATAAATTGGTGAGTTCTGTCCAACCAAGGAGCGCCACTTGTGATGCCTAGATGTGCAGCATACACTATGCCAGATAGTCAATATCAAGAGATGAAAGATGAGTGTGTGTATAACAATCTATTCTATATATGCATGAACTGAACTCGCAACACTCGACAACATATATATATATATAATATAGAGCGCGAAAGCGATAATGAGAAAACAACGAGAACATAATAATACAAGTGATGAAACACCGTACCGTCACAGGGGGTGTTACACCCCCGACACCCCCCCGGTCGGGCCACCCCTGCCCTTTGGATAGTTCGTAAGATTTCGAACAAAAGATATTTTTTATCAGCATGAACTACTGGAGCTAGTCCTCATCAAACTGTATGAAGAAAGGTGATAGAAAGGTTTTCATAGTACCTGTTGAAATCAACAGGATTTTCATGGAATATATCAAAGTCTTAATAAAATGTGTTCTGAGCATCGCGAAACTCTGATCAAAAAGTATTTTTCATCAGCATTACCTACTTGACGAAGCTCATCGGAAAAGTGTGACAAAAGAGGTAACAGTAAGTGTTTCCTAGTACTTGTTGGAATCCTACAATTTTCCATTGAAAATATAACAAAACTGACTTATTCCGCTTAGAACTGCTATACAATCTCGAGAAAAAGATCTTATATATTAGCATGGCCTGCTGAACCAAGTCCTTCAATCAATTGTATGAATTGATGTATTAGGAAGGTTTTTAAAGTGCTTGCCGAAATCTAAAGGGTTTAAATTCAAAATATCAAATACTGAATTAAATATGTTCGAAATATCGAACTATTCCGAATAAAAAAAATATTTTATCAACGGGACCAACTCCGTCTAGTCCTTCAGAAAAATATGTCAAATTACTTGTTAGGAAGTTTTTTAGAATACTTGGCAAAATCCTACCACTTTCCGTTGAAAATATAAAAAATTCAATAAAACTCTTTACAAGTACTCTAACATCTAGAAGAAAAGATATTTTATATCAGCATGACCTGCCGAACCTAGTCCTACACTGAAATAAACGAAAAACTTCACTAGACATTTTTTTTTAGTACTTGTTGAAATCCATGAGATTATCATTCAAATATCAAATCCTCGATAAATTCTTTCAGAAACATTGTAAAATTCCAAAGTCAAGATATTTTATATCAGTAATAGTCAAGTAACTTACTACTTTAAAAAGGATACAAAAAGATCTATTGGAAAACCTTTTATAACACCTGTTGGAATTCTGAAGGTTTCCATTAAAAAATTACAAAACTTAATTCTATCGATAGGAAAAACGATCAAAAGCCGAACCAAAGACATTTTATATCAGTATCACGTACTCAACTTAATCCTTTAGCAAACTATATGAAAAGATATAGTGGAAAGTCTTTTATAGTTCTTGTTGAAATCTACAGGATTCCCATTAAAAATATTAAATCTTTAAGAAAAACTTCCAAAAACATTGAAAAAGTTCGAACAACAGATATTTTAGATCAGCATCACCTTTTGAACTTCGTTCTTGAGAAAATATGTGACAAGATATTTCAAAAAAATATTTTATAGTATTCATTCGAATAATGTTGAGTTCTATAAAAACTATTGAAACTCAATGAAAGGCTTCCGAAGAACTGGTATATCATTGATCTCATTGTTGATTCTAAATCAGTTTGAAATGCTGAATCAGATGATGTATTACTCGATATGGGTTGTCGGTTAAATAAAGGTATTGAAGACTTAATTTAATAAAAAAACGCCATCTATGTATGTTCAATAGAAAAATAGTTTTTCGTATTAGATTTTCCCAAACCTTAAGGATATCTTAGATCTTTTTAGTGATTATACACCAGTTCGACACGCTGAATCAAATTATGTATCACTCAATATACTTTATCAGTTAAAATCAAATCTTAAGTGTGAAATTTAATAAAAAATTGCATATATACCGGTTCAATAAAAAAAAGATTTTTTGTATAAGATTTTGTAAAACCTCACGGATATCTTGGATCTCTTCACTCATTTTACATCAGTTTGACATACTGAATCAGATGATGTACTATTCGATAGGGTTATAGGTTAAATAAAGATAATGAAAATCTTTTTTAATGAAAAAATCCATATATTTGTGTCCAAGAGAAAAACTAAATTTTCCTGTAAGATTTTCTTAAACTTTGACGATGTTAAAGATCTTTTTATTCCTTATACATCAGTTTGACATGCTGAAT